TTTCTCTAACAAGGCTATCAGTGATTTCAGATGGACGGTTAAAAAAACACCGTGGGAACATATGTTGTAAACTAGCATCGCAGAATTGCTTACAAGAAATCATCAAGCGGCGCTCCCTAGAGTATGTTACATAAACTTGTGCCGCCTACACTGATGGTGTTCGAGACTTTTTTGTCGGGAACAGAGATGTCGAGTTTGCCTTTTTGTTCAGACATAGGGTGTACTTTAGAGTAACAAAGGAGATGAAGAAAAAATTAACAATTTAAGCTGTTAGTGAGTACATTCTTTAGCAATTCAAATATAGACTTGCACAGAATGTTTCTAATTTTCCAATCATGAGCACGCAAAGCGCATATGTATTCAAGGGCGAAAACAATATAATCAAGAAATAGCTACAGTCCCCAGGATTAAAAAGTGTGAACCTTTAAGTAAAAACCTATTACATTTTTGCAGCGCTCATGATCAAAACTACCGGCTTAGCTACATTTTCTTTGGTATTATCTTCGTTTAATAAATCTTGTAATGAGACAGTGGCGACATCCTTTTTAGCATTTGTATCTTTATACTGATAAATCCCTTCTTAATTTAAAAGCAATTTGCTTTTAAGTATTATTTACTTTGCAATTTCTCACAGCAAACATTTTGATCTAATAGCATAACGGTTTTTGTTATTATCTACCAACCGAATCATACGCTTCGTCAGTAGATCAATGTAGTTGTGGAGCTGACAAGCTGACAATCACTCGGCTTAATGCAAGTCTAAGAAAAGATTTGCCAAGTAGCTTATTCTGAAACGGGATGATCAAACAACTGTACAACAGATGTGAAGCACCTGGTAATAATTACTCTTATTGCGGCAAGGTAAAAATAATTCAAATCCTGCCCGTGTGGCAAAATGAATGTTAAAAGAGTTCGACACACGACGTTAAACGGCGAAAAACATGTTGCGTCTTCCATGGTATTCTCCGCGGAAAATCGGTGACACACTGGTATGACTGGAATTACTTAATACTATTTCCTTTATTGGCTTTATCGTCTTTTTCCAAACCCAGAAAATAAGACGAGGAGGTTAATTGAATCATTCTGATAATCGGTTATTGTACTGCGGCATTTTCCTGTTTCATTAGTTTCATTCCGTGGAGATATTCAAGGATTTTCTCTAACAAGGCTGTCCGCAGATTCAGCTTGGCGGTTTAACCACTGTGTTAAACATTTATAGTACGCAAAAATGTCCCGAAAGCCGGAGACCAATCTAGGAGTGGTTCGAGCTTTATTTGACACCTAAAAGATACCAATGACTGTCAAATGATAGCTGTAGGGATATGACTGCTTTCTTTTCTATTTTATTTAGACCAAAAAAACAGCGTGCAATCCTTTAAGAAGCCTTGACAGCTGAAAGGTTTGGAGTTTCGTCACCTTAAAAGGTTGGACCAAAGTTCATGATTTCCATCCAGCCCTTAGCGAGGCGACGAGTATCCCCGTCCCTTTCATATGGAGTCCCCTCTGGGGGTGCTCCTCTGCATAAACTATTTAGTTCTCTACGGGTGCACCAACAAGTCATGTATACGACGAACGAACGAACGAAAGAACGCACGGACGCGTGCGAAAACGAGTAAACGCCCGTGGGAAGGAATGCCCAGTAAACAGACGCACGCACGAGCGCGGACGAACGAGTGAATGATACTTTTTTTGCCAACGCAAATTATTGGAAACACATGAGCTCTCTGAAAGAGATACGACTGAGTATCAGTTTAGTAATACCAGAAAAACGTCCGAATAATTTGAAAAAAGTTATCTTTTAACAAGCCTCTTACAATGCAGTGGAGTTCTTGTTTAATTGGCTAAGCTGGGATAAAATTTTATCCATTGATTTACTTCTAATAGCCTGGTTATTTACCTTTGTTTCAAAACCTGTCCTGATTCAAAACTACGTTTGACTTGGTGAACACTGAAAGTGTCATTATACAAAAAGCTAAGTTTTTACGTTTATTTTACTGTCGAACTTAGTTTGCATTTTGTCAATCGGCCTTGCCTGTGATCCAAGGTCGTCCAAAACCCAGTTGTTGCATTAGTTCAAGTGTTTCTTCTCCCAGTTCTTAGTTTCGTCTCTCATTTGTCTGAGTGGTCTTGATTAAGCTACCTTGCCCTTGGCCTTGGCTTATGCAGAACCCCCTCAGGGGGGGGGGGGATGAATCCCGTATGAAATGGACGGGGGGTGCTCGTCGTACCTTTAAGGAGTTAAAAAAAGGGTTTGGTACCTCTTAGGGGATTTAGCCTCAAAAGGTCCACAGCGAGAGCTTTTCCGATACTTTTTAGGGTATTGAGCCGAAAAAAAAAATATGACAGGAGATTATGTGTTATGTAAGAATTGGTACCTCTTAGGGGAGAAAAAAATTTCAAGCCACGCCCACAAAACAGGATCTTAGTACCTCTTAGGAGTTCTTTTCCGTAAAATTTCTGACGAGCACCCCATCCCGGGGGGGGGAGGCTCCCCCTGGATGCAGACCTCCGAGAAACCTGGAGTTATGATTTCATTATCTGTTTTTTTTGCGTGTACCTTTCTTGTGATATTGTTCACTTGACGAGTAGTTATTTGCCTTTATACCATGCCGTAGAAAATTGAGCCAATTAGAATTCAGGAAAGCCGTTTACCCGTTATTTACTTGCTGGTATTACACCCAACCTTCTCATCATGCGCCGCGCGTAAGTCGCATTGATTATGTTGGCCACTACAGTATGGTATAAAAGAGTTATACAACGCTCTGTCGCGGTATACCATGGAACATCCCACTTGTCACTTGTACGTATTTTCTTGGTATACACACTCGCCTAATAAAAGGCTCGAGTCTATAACAAGAAAATACGTACAAGTGTCTGATGGGATATTCTATAGTATACCACTCGAAAACGTCGCATAACTAGTATTTATTATATGGCTGTGTCGCACAAGGACTGGGAACTACCAATCGAATTCACGAATTTGATTGGCTGAAATCGATAATGAACGCGGTCTAGATTTTCCCATCTAGACCGGCATCTAGACCGATTATATTTTGCGGTGAAAAAGTTGCAAACTAAATATACAAAAATATTGACTATTTCCCTCTAAAGATATTAGAGGAAGTGTCAAAAGAGTGATGACAAAAAAAGTAAAGATTACGAGCAAACTTTGGCATATTTGAGTTCAGCTCATCGCCTTTCGCAAGCAAAATGTCAGCTAGTGCAAACCAGTTTCAATAAAAGAATTTTTTCTTTTGTTTGGCTTATAATAAACATCTTATTAATCGAGCTTAGTCGGTCTGTATCGGAGAATCTTGACCTCGGTCGTGAGTACAGACCCCACTGGGTTCGTTCTGTACTCACGACCTCGGTCAAGATTCTCCCATGCTTAGATAGTAAGAACTTAAGCATTATACATGTTGGTATGCTTTGGCTTTTAGTTTCCGTTTGTTAGTGGTTCCCAGGGCTAAACTTTTACATGTAAAACATGCAATCAGAAGAAGTAGGTTTTCTCTACCAAGCGACGTCCTATCAAAAAATACCTAGCATTCTCGCCATGGTGCCTCAAAGTATGGCTGCTGCCGTCTGTGTTCAATTTACAATACTTGTTTGCTTCTTTCGTGTGTAATCGATTTACGTGTAATCGATTTAAGAAATATGTATTTATTTTTCAGTATTTCAGTCCACCCACAGAGGCGAAACGTATTCTCACATTAGGCCATCTAAATCTCTTGCTACGTGCAGCTCATTAAAGTCTACTCTCAAATAGTACTAAGAATATCGACTTAAATGTGCTACGTGCTTTCAATTCGGCAATCGATAGCTTTTTGATATCCAATGTCAAAAGTACTTTACCGACTTTCAAATGTAAATCCAGTTGTGGTATTGTGTCACCGACCTTTTAAATTACTCTATTAAACTACTATCTAATTTTAGAGCCACTGTTAATTACAACTAACCAGCTCAAAGGAAGAAAATAGATTTTGTTTGCAATCAGAAAAATCTTTCTTTTGTTCTTGGTGAAATAACAGTGAGGTACTCCCAATGTCGAAAAGTCGCGACCAACTTTACAAAGTCGCAACAAAACAGTCGATCTGTGGCACAGACAATTGTACCACGTGATGATATGTTGACACGATATATCTATAGTCAGGCCGCAAGATTTGATGGGAAATATATGAAGTCACGTTTTCACATTCTTCTATGTTCTCCTCTTCTCAGTTTCAGCAGGTTTGACTTGGTATATGAACTGAGCAGGCAAACGTTTGGGAAATTGAAAGGCGAGTAGGCAGCAACGACTGCCATTCCTTTTTATAATTTTGAGAGGTAAAATCTTTTTCTAGTTTTGAGGTACTGATTCTTGACGCGTCACCATGACTCTTATAAACCGGGCGGGAGGTCTGTACGGGATAAAACTGACCGAGTTAGTGGTGACTGATTGCTTGAACACACTGTGGGTGCGAGATCGAAGCTGCTCGATGAGCACATATCCGGCAATTTCTTTAAGTAAACAAGAAGGTTGTTTTCGATTAACTTAAGATCGTTTTCTGTTCAGTTGAAAGCAGCTGTTCGCTCGTTAATCCATGTTTACCATTAGATACGACGTCGAGTTGCACTTCCCCCGGGGGTATTCCCCTACTTGGGCTATATAGGTATGTGCGGGCTTCAAAGAGTATGGCCTTTTAGCCGTTTTGTTCAGACATTTGCTTATTTTGGTCTTAAATAGGGTATGGGCTTTGCACTTTAGCCTTGAATTGGGTACGTTTTTTTTAGAAGAAGCTACTTTTTCATCATTATCGATAACACTATCAACAAAAGCACTTCACAGTGAAACAGAGTATTGATTTAAGGGTCAGGGACCCGTTTCTCGAAAGCCCCGGAACCTTTTCGGGCCCGTAAAGCCATTTTTAGTCCACCTATATCTAAAAACAGAGAAGTGTATACGCCTGAAACTTCTTGTGTGAAGGGAGCTTCTCTTCATATTAAGAATATGTGAACAAAACAGCTCTGTAATCGTAAGGTTCGAGATTTTGCTACGGCTTTACGGGTCCGAAAAGTTTCCGGAGCTTTCGTGAAACGGGCCTAAGTAGGGTATCTTAAAGAGAGCAAGGGTTTTGGGAAGTGAGCCGCACATCACACCCAATTTTTTTCTGGGAGTATACCTCCACCCCCCGCGCCCCCGAGGTGTTGAACTTCTCTATAACCACCCTGATCCCTACCATTGCAGATAGGTTTCAATCTAAATAGGATTCTCTGCTGTCAGCAGATGTCATATCATGGTTAAGGAAATATGCATTTGTTTTTTTTTTTGTTTTTTTTTTGTTTTTTTTTTTAACATCAGTTCGTGTGCCTTCAGCAGAAGTTCCCCTCGTGACTCTGTGACTCGATTGTGACAGCTGTAGGTAATGTGGTACCAATCATTTCATTTCAAACAAGAAACATATCAGCCTAGCTTAGCATTTTGATAATTTCTATACCCCTACAAAAATTAGCTGGAGAATAGTGGCTTCTTTAGCTATCCTGAATTCACATTGAATTTCAATGATAGAAGCCACTAACCAACCATCCTTACCATAAAATTCTTTTTACATGGGCTGAACGTAAGGCAATGTTTAAAAGTAAAAAGTCATTTACTACTCGCTGGATACCTCAAAATAATTATCTGCTAAGGAAGTGGAGAATTTCGCCGCAGCTATGATAGAAAAACGTGAAAAATTGATAACTCAAACATTGTAGAAGATTAACTTAATACCTCTCTTCCGGAGGAAAAAAAATAGTTAAGCCATTAACTGCATAACAAACAGCGTGTCTTATTATTTATAAAGATCAATACCATTACAAAAGATCGAGCCAATATAGAACCATTATTTCGATAGTTCTGTGTGATCTTAGCGAGTCACCTGCCCTGGAAAGGTTAACTTCTTAAAATTTCTGGCAGGCTCCGTTCCATTTATAGATAGTTTGGACCAAGGGTGAGTTTCCATCCACAGGATAAGACTGATGAAGCTAAAATCCCCCTCTTCTCAACCGCACTCACCCCTGCTAGGAAAGGTTTCTCATTGCGAATACCGAGAAATCGCCATTAAATTTAGCTAGCACGTAAACATTTTCATTCAATGAACGTTTGTATGATACAGAGCAGTGGTTATACCCCGAAATAGCATTATCCTACCTAGTCTGGCACTCTGGAATTTTGTCGCTGAAAACTCACTCTTCTCGTGACGTGCTTTTTTTGAGTCCACATTGAAACAGACAGTGGTCGCTAACGACTATATAATTATCTAATTTAATTAAATATTTCACTCAGGATATGGTAGTAATTAATAGAAAACGTAAGCAGGTTTGCATGTTTTAAACCAAGTAGTCTACATCATGGGAGGGGAGATTTTTAGACTCAGATGCCGCTAAAGAGTGAAGTTGTTTGTATTCACACAAACAAATTATGTTTACAAGGAATCATTATAGTATACCAGTGTATTAAAGTTGTAATATCACATTTAGTGTTCGTGTTGTCTGTTCGTGAAAGCATGCCGGTGTTTCAATAAGAAACAGGATAGTGAAATGTAGATGCTCCAATTCTCTCAATGTGTTTGATGTCCGATCACGGAATTTCTTTTAAAAATAGAAACCGCACGAAACTGAAGCGTGTGCCTTATTAGCTGTGCTTTATTTCTTGTTTAAATTAGAGTTACTACCACTTTACATGTTGTTGACATTGCTTCTTATCGCACTAGCATTTGCAATCTGTTGATAAGAGTGCCTGAGTTCTTAACTGAATAACTTAAGAGCTCGGTATGTTTTTTAAGCCTCCGTACAGCACTCGAAGTAAATATTTGCGCGTGCATTGGGGGAAGACTGTGGTCAGGAAATGGTGTTTGTGATGAGCTGAGAACTGCTCTTCATCTCCCTAGCAACTTCCGCACAAACATCCGTCGGTATAATAGACCATATTGCAACCTTGACCGACGAACTTTGTGCGAGAAGCAAGGACGATATTCACTTAAAGATATTACTTTGTATACCGACTCTTAGTAATATTTAAAACGAGTTGGGAAAGTCAGTGTGTCTAACCGCAACGTTTAACAGAAGGTATAAAGAGGAAAAACGAGGGCACCAGGTCAATGGAATTGCGTTGGCGAAGTTCTCAGTAAGTAGTTGTCAGATTGTTTCACTGTGCCTCATTTTAAGTAGTTTGTCGTCGTATTTTTCGACGCGTGATGAATCATAGAATGATCAGTTCACATGTTTGTCGTTTTATGAGCGTTCATTTTAATTTATTCCAGATGAAAACCGTAATTTAATTAATGTGACATCCCCTGTTAGCATAACCACTTTGAAATGGACGTAACAGAAGGCTTGTTTACTGTATAGGCACTAACGTCTGTTGATAGTGACTGGTAATGCCTCACACATTGGCCACAAATCACACTTCAATTAGTTTTATTTACCATTTGCAATTAGCTTATTTACATTGCAGAGTGCTGTTCCGCTCAGGTATGTATGTGGCACAACGTTCTGTGTGTTCTGTAGTTTTAATTGAGCTATAAATTGCGTAGACAGTGACTCGACACGGTTTTAAAATTGTTCCACGCGCCAAAGCCAGTTCGATTCCAGTATATGCTCGAGCTTTACCCGAGTGTATAATATGGCTAAACGGGTTTGAATATGAAAACGTTTGCCTTATCAATCCCAGATGGTTAACCGTAACTTCTTTTTTTTTTTTTTCCAGGAGTTAAATTCAGTATTTTCCCCTTACTTTCAAATATTATCTCCATATGGTGATACGGCCTCCCCAGCAGGTCAACTCCAGGTTGTAGCTATGCGCGCCAAAATGTCTTCCAAACGGATGTTCGCTGTGGGAGCTTCGGTATTGATCCACTTTGCGACGCCAGTGCACTGACTTAAACGCAGATTTAACTTCTTTAACAAAATTACGTGCTTAAAGGCTAATCCGATCAGTTTTTATACTATGAATCTTGCAACTTTTTTTGGCCCATTTAGGATTAATTTACTGGCCGAGACATGAAGAAGTCAGCAATAAAGAACTCAACAAACCTTTGCGTATAAAAACAGTTTTCTCGGAGAAGCCTTGTAATATTAGTCAAGGCTTGTGAACGTAATGATTCATCATTAGGCTGTCATCGCAAGTCGAATGTTTGTAGTTAGAGGATTAAACCAACGAGTGGTAGTCTTGTCGTTTTGTCGGCATTCGGGAGCCATGTTAAGCCCAGTTGAAATGAACGGAAACACAACCGTAAACTAATATGACAATAAAAGTAACATAGATTGTAATGAAAACAGCCTGATTAGACTTATCGCCTTAGCACCCAAGCAAATCTGTTGTTTTTATCTTAACTAATACGATTTTATTGTTTTACTCATCTCACCCGCATAGTTAACCAATATTCCACATGAGTTCGCATGCAAACAAGATTTTGAGAACTTTGAATTAGTTTACAATATAAAGTAATTTCAAAGAAACAATTGACTACAGTTAACCTCGTGTTTTAGCTTGAGGTTAACTCTAAACCGTTGTATCAAACTCGTGATACTGCCAGCTACTGTCATGTGCGCCCCACAAAAAGAAGACGTAGTTTTTTCTACTTGAGCAGCTGGCTAATTGATAGCGAAACAGTTTTTACAAGGTCTTAATCCATTAAATGTGTGATTGCTGTTGTTCACTGGAATAGAAACGGTTATGTCATAAATCATTCTCATCTTTAATAGTGCCGTTTGCGACTTGAAGGCGCGTTGCCTGGCCCTTGGAAAATAGCTCGGAATAACTCTAATCAAGATCCAGCCTAATGGCCCAGTAAATGGCCGCTTGTCTTGCTCTATCACTCGCAATCGCCGAATCTTAAAAAGATATCAAAAGTCGCTCGGACAAAGGCAACACCATAAATAGGTTAATTGTTTTTTAACCCACATTTCCGCTTATTGTTAGAGTGAAACCGAAACCGTGAGTATGTGGGCAAGAAATTCTAGATATGCATTCTGTTCTCTCGATTTCAGAGGGCTGTGCCTCATTCAGGAATTGACCTTTGTTGACGGAAATTTTTCAATCCTCTTTTTTTCAGACGCAAGCAAGGCCCGTGATTCACTTTCGCTTGGATTTGCCATTCTCAGTCCAGGGTCACTGAGCAGAGCAGAACATTTACGTCTATTAAAAAGCTAGCGGCGGTGCGGCTATGGATAATTCATCGGCAAGTCATTAGTAAAACTCATCACAACAGGTAAACTTCAGTGGATGTTACATGCTTGAAACTTTATTTTCTTCTCTGTGTCGATACGCCATATTTAGTTTGGGGCTTTATCACGCTTTACTGCCTCAGTTCTTGGTCAACAAGTTGTGTAATAACTCTAAAGTCGGCATAAGTAACATAGAAACAAGACCGGGATGCTGAGAAAATTTTTGACGCAAATTTTTAAAAAGTCAACTTTGATTTCGAGCGCTAAGATAAGTGATGTGATGAAATGCACTTGCACATGAAAACCATTTGGTTAGGATCTAAGGCAAGCGAAGGCATATTCTCTACCAGGGTAAACGAGACATTCGCTGGACAGGGATTAGGCTTGCCAACCTGTGTCGACAAACAGCACAATGAGACAGCGACAAAACACAAACAGAATTAAACGACTACGCAGTCTTAAAATCTCGCAAAATGCACTACTTTCGCCAGTCTTAGATGTACGAGTTTTCAGGGGGAGCACGTCTCTGCTAATTGGATCCTCTCCCCTCCCCTATCACTGACAAAGCACCCTCTGATTGCCTATAACTACTGAGATGTAACGAAAGGAACAAATGGTCTTGAAAATTCAGTATTTACAAGTAGATGAAGAGTATATTGGGAAGGGGTCAGTAGAAGGAAGCAACGGGCAAGTGAATAAAGAAAGAGGAGAAAACAGTACAATTTTCCCGTTAAATTAATTTTATATAAATGGTATATAGTTTGCGAAATCGTATTCTCTGTTGACGCGCCTAACCACTCGCTTCTTGTGCAGAAGGCCTTGTAGCCATATAAACAAGTGATATTGATTGAACCTTGGCGGAAATTAAATTTATTCATAACGGACTGTGTTTTCCTTCGTGTTCTAAAGCTGAAGGATAGTTAGTTTCGAGTTTTACCGGAAAACACACGCGCGCGCGCGAGAATTGGATCAGCTCAAGCTTTCAATGTAATTTGATCCATTTTAGTTTTAGTTGAAGAGAGTGAAAGCAAATGTTCGTGTTTTTAAGGTGAAGAATGACGTTTTCTGGGTTCCTCGGCGCTGACGTAAACTGCGATATTTTACTTGATTGCAATAAACAATTCTGTGACGTACAGCATCGCACATCCTAGCGCTTTACTGAACTAAAAAAACCACAGTTCATACTACAGGGAACTGTTTTGTTTCACTTCGCCACTAAGTGGTCAAAACCCAAAGAGCGTGCGGTCACAGACCTTGGTGTGGACTAAAAAAACATGCTGGACACATAGCGCACTGTTTACATTAAAATACAGCAAGTTTACAAAAAAATTTTCCCACACCAGGACATAAGTCATTTCTCTTGAGCTGAACTGGCTGGGTAGAATCGAGATTATATAATCCAGTCATTCTTTTAACGATTGACGTAATCTGCCGTACTTATTAGATATAAGCCGAAGTACAAATTTTGATCAGATTAACCCAGCAGCAGAGATAACCGAACAGGCCGCGGTCGTTGTGTAAGCGATTTTTGCATCGTCACAAAATTACGGCTAACGGGAAAACAGTATTGATCGCCGGGCGAGGTGAGTATGAGATCAAAACAATTCTTATAGTGTTCAGTTGTATTTCGTGCGTGACTGCATGGCGAAAACGAATTAGTTTACAGTCGCCACTATACAATACTTATGCAATGAGCACAATATAAGTACTAGTCGTACAGAGAAGAGGGTAATAAAATGCCTTGGAGACTTAAGACTCCTCAAAAACAAGATGCATGTACCCACAATCTATATTCAACCTCATATGCAAAGCAGGCTTTCGTCATGTTATCGTGAAAATGGTGACGTCATCTCTAAAGCAAGCCCAGATTATGTTAGGAAAACAAGCGAAAACATCTTTTTTTTTTTTTCATGCACTGTCTAGCTTCCAAGAGGCCCTGTACCCTAATTGGCGAGAAATTATGTTCTACATGCAGCTCGTAAAGGAGGGAAAAAATGAAAAATTTCTATCAAGCAGTTTACATTGAGAAAAATGTCCGATGTGACTGAAGACATACCTCTGTAAGCGGGAAACAAAAAACCATATGTAGTGTCAATGCTTAGCTTAAGCTGTTAAATGCGGTTATCAGTTATTAAAAATAAAAAGCATTAATCATGTCCATAAACTGTTAGATGATTTTCGTATTGTTTTACCGATGGGTCAGTTGTTTGGTTAATCGAACTGGCGAGGCGTTAAAGTGCTTGTAAAGTGCCCTTCCGGCCGATAGAAGGCTTGCGACAAATCGAAGACAAATTGGAGTCAAAAAAATTAAATCGCCCTCAGTATTTAATCAGTATAAATCTCGCAGGGCCGTAATGAAATTTCCGGAATTGAAGCTAGTAGTATTCGTTTTGAGGGTTTAAAATTTGATTTCCAGATAAGCGAATTTATGCACTTAGTCTGTCACTCCCTGGTTTCCAATGAAAGCGGAGCTACCGAAAGAATTGAGAGCCTTCGCAGTTGACAAGGGCTTTGCTGAAAGCTATTTGAACAATCAATTCCTGTTTCATTCTAGAAACGACCAAGCAAACTCAGTAAAAATAGAGATGTGTTATTGCGACAGATTCTGAGCAAAATCTTTGTTGACAATTCGCGTTCAGTAAAAATGACAAATGCCAGATGCAAAAGATGAATTGGGATCTCCGTACACATTAATGTCAAAAGGAAATCCTTATTACAGTTTCCGTACAAGACGGTCTTTCGGACTAAGTTTCATTGTACTGTTCCATTCTTTGGGCAGGAAGGCTTCCTAATACCTTCCCTTTGGCTGTCTAAAGAGTTCGTTTTCCCATGAACTTTCTCAGATTTGAGTACTTTTTAGTTTTGTCTAAGAATCTTGGCACGGTTTCATCCCCCGCCATTGTAATCCGCTGGTTGTTTATCTACAGTGAAGAAGAATTATGAAAGCTTAAGACGACAACTAAAAGCGAGTTGTGTGGGCTCTAGGAAATTATAAACAGTCTACCCAAATGCGGCGTCCTCCGTTGTAGACACTTCGTCGAGCATTTTTTACACTTCAGGTGCTAAGCACGTTTTTATGGGAAAGGAACAAGTGATTAGCGATTATTTTGAATTAAACCAGCTTTGCTTTACTATTTTGGTCCTGTCTGATCCACAATTTTTGTTTTGAAAAAACCTTTACAGATCGCAGAACCTATTGTTCTCTAATTCTTTGTGTCCATTATAAGTCGTTTTTGCATGTGGAACTGACACCTGATTGGTCAATTCGCCCGATTCAAGGCGACTTTCCACTATACAAACAGACGTTTTCTCGAAGTATCTTCAGTCCTCGATTGAACTTCAAGGTGACTTTTGAAGGAAAGCTGATTATTTGAAGGGAAACGATTCGTATCGGGAATTATAGCAAAAAGCGTGTGTGCTTGTAATCTTCATTGTCGCTGACATATGATATAGCGAATTTTGATTGACAATTAAGATTTCCTTCACACCGGGGTAACCTAAAACTCCATTTTGAAACGGTGCCTTTCTTCTATGCAATCATCCACTTGTCATGTCAACGAATGCGAAATTGCAACAGTCAACATTGAAAATTGTGCTTTTAATTTATCTCTACGATTGTTTATTTAAGCGAGTAAAATGTCGCGAAGTCCTGTTAAAAGACCTAAGACCTCTCTCTTTATATGTACTTGGTTCTTATCTCTGCAGCAGTGCTCTACTTCCCGGCTGCTGTAAACAATCATAGAACTCTTTAGAGATAAGAGGAGCTGGAATGCGCTCGGTGATAAAAGATCCCAAACATATAATTTGCTTCGCGCAATGTCGTGCACTGGCCAACGCGAAAATCGGCATGTAAGCAAGCACGGTCGGTCGCGACTGCCCGATTAACTACAAAGCGGATTCGCTTCCTGTACGCCAAGTCGCCTGCTAGCAAATGCTACACGTCAACGAATATTGTTAAACAAACAGTCTCGATTACTCGTAATGGGCCGTGATATTTTTGTTTAGAAACGATTACTCAAATTGTCTGTCCGTTCCGTGGCGGTAACACAATATCCAGAGCGGAGACTTGGACCTCGAGATCACCAGCGTGTGTCAGTCTTCCTTTAAGAGAGCTGCGGGTAAGACGGTCGCAGATCGCTGTAGGAGAACCCAAGATATTCCGCCAGACAGTACAAGTTCAGTGATGGAAACACAGACGAGACTGGTTGCGGTAGCCACTTTAGTGATTCTTCAGATGCTTTGTGTCCTTAGTGGAATCCAGGTGAGTGGAAAACATTAGTGGTTTTTCTAGCTCTGTCGATTTCATGATGTTTCCGGACCAGAGAAGTTTACAAAGAAAACCCCTTTTGCACGGTTATAAATGGGCAACTGACAGATTGATATTGAACGTTGAAAATAGTTTTTATCTGTACTGACACGGGTCACTATGTCTTTCTGTAGCGTTTTCCTTTCCCCGCTGCGCGTTCTGACGTGCTGTGTTGTGTTTGAAAACGCACGAGTTTATGTAATATCCCTGCGATGCTTTCAGGGACAATAAACAAACACGTTTACCTTCAGTTGTGATTACAAAGCCCCACTGCCGTATGCTTTGATTTTCTCGTACAGTACAGGTAATGACACTGTGAATGCCTCATTTGTCAGACATATTTAATGTAATGTTATCGACTGAACCCTTGCCGCTTCACAAGGCATAGTTTCGCGTGTCGCGCCACTGGAGATTTGTAACTGGGATGTTCCCTGGGGTGGAGACATTTTGCGTCCAACAATGATTTCAAACACGCGAGTAGAAATATTTAAAGATTTCTTAGTGGGAAGTGATGTAATTTTAATGAAGTGGAAAACCATAGTCTGGGGAGGTTTCTAGTCTGTGACAAAATCTCCTCGCGGTTCTGCGCAGTATGAGGAGGTCACAAGGGCAGCTGTAGTCTAACAGCTCTCACTCGATATAACACGTCAAATTCGAGTTCCCAGCGGAACGAGAACGCATGGTCACCATTATCGAAACAAAAACAACATCATCAGGCTGAGCATTGTACTTAGAACCCTTGACGCAATATCGTGTCGCTAAAAAACGCCAAGAATAGGAGATAAAGCTATTTTGCCAATAATACCTTTTCGAAATAGCACTAGGCTGGTTGATCGTATTAACAGAAAACCAAAGTCTTGGCTTCGCTTTGGATGTCCCCTTAAACCTTTTAACACTCAACCGCAAACAATCTCTAGATGTATCGCGCAAAACAGCCCACGTCACACAAACACTTCTCTAAAGGCTCTTGATAATTTGTTTCAGAGAAAACGACGTTCTCACTGCCGCTTTTCAATGGCCCCTCAAGACAATCTTGCGCGCACTGAATCAGCAACATCAGCCATACGTGTCTTCACGGCCGGGAGATTTACACACAGAGCAATGTTACCGGCGGGCTGGCTGTTAGAGAACATGAATACTTTAGTCGGTCTGAGCTATTATTTTATTCCTTTAAATCTAGTTTGATGGAAAACAGCAGATAGCCGATGGTATCTGAGGAATTTTCCTGATTGAGGCCTTGTTTATTTGCCTACGCAATTCCAGAAGTGAGAGTAATGTTTGAACAATTATTCCGCAATTTTCGAATCCAGGGGGCCTTCCGCAGTTTGTTATCCCATTTAAAAACGTCATAACCGTTCAATAATCAACCAGAACTCGTCAAAACCCGTGAGAACTAACAAAAACGTGGTGTGCGATGTCATCTCTGAGTTATTAAAAATCGTTACCGCAAATTAAGACGTGACCAGTTGAGCGATTCCTTGGTCAGACGACTTTTCGTTAAATTCCGATAAAAAAAGGGAGACAAATAATTGTTTTCTTTAATAAGCTGATCGCCCACAAACAAGAAGAAAAGTGTTTACGGAGGTGTATATTGACTTAGGTTTTTATGCGCCTTTGCTAGGTGTTGGTACACGGTCAGGGTCATTCGACGGCGTCTTCGGCTGAAGATGCGAAATGTGTTAAAACACCAATGAAAGGTGCAGCCTCGCGAGTAATTTATTTACCACACTTTGCAAAGATCTCTTAATCACATGATAAATATTTAGTCCATCTTTGTTTGTCTCGAGGTTTTTCTGTTGTGCTTTTTTTCAAGGAACGTTTCGTTTGATACATATTTTCACGCGTTGCGATTTACAACGCACAGGGCTTGCAACAGATGGATTTGTAAGTAGCGGATTAGACTAAAATAACATTTTGTCCGCCCTTTCTATATCACTCAGCGAGAAAAGACCTTCAGGTCACTGCAACATACGTACACACAAAGGGAAATGATTTTTTTGTCTTATATGGTGGTTGCGGTTTAATTGTTGAACTGAACTAACGGATGGAATTCCCTAATTGTAGCAGAATTAATTTTAGTACTGCACCAGCTGTCTTGATTGTAGGGCCATAGTGCGATTTGTCTGTCAGGAAATTACGTCATGTAGTTAAAAATATGCTTAATAGCTGGCTTACGATTGTGTGATAAATATTGATGGGTGGTATAAGTGTAAAACTATGCAATGAGATATTGAGTTCAACCTCGTTGTGTCCTTTGGTAGATCTTACTGAAACAACAAGTTATTAAATTAAGTTTATTGGGGACTTAACTGATAACCAGATTGATCACAAGGTTTAGGTTTTCCAATTTTCTAATTTCAGATAATTATGAGTATTGGCTACTAAAAAAAAAAATATTTCTTATGAACCGTAATTAAAATTCTCAGCCTGATTTTAATGATGCCACGAACGGACAAACAGAAAATGACGAATGCAAACGATGCACGAGAAATTGTTTCGTAGAATTAAGCGTGAAATCATTAAGCCTTATATAGCGTCATCAGGATAACCGTTTTGGAGAACACTATATAGTAATTGAGTAAGGTCCCGTTACATATTCTTGATACAGGTCGAGCTGTTTACAAAAACAAAAAATGAGTGCAAGATTGAATAATTTAAGCCTTTGAGAGTATAAAATAAATATTTTACCAGGGCGAGGGCTTATGGCGGGAAAACTGTTGTGGGAAAGAAAGAAAACATTCCGTTGAATTTGCTCTACTAAGAAGTGATAAACAGATGCTATCTATTACAAATGAATGAATAAAGAGCTTAAGGGATATGGGAGACGGCCATCTAATCAGCTAATCAATGTAATTTCTCGATGTATTTGCTAGATTCTCCATAGTGGATTTTTAAAGAATATGTAGAAACCTGTTGGGAGAATTAAATTCGCGCCTCTGCATAGTACAGTGCGGCAAACTTTTATGAGATTTAATTTCCTTGTGGGACTTTCCACAAGCCTTTTACGAGCAGTTTGAAATCTAATTGAGTTTGATTATGCTCTATTTCGTGTTTCTATTAGCCCTGTGGCTCGTCGATAAAGTAGACGTACATTTTTGTTTATCTGATTAATTATCTCCCTTACTACTCACTTGGGTTACGCACCTCGACTTAATTTCTTTGTAAGGAATTTCTTAGATGGTTAAACCGGTACGGTCACGCAAGCAATCTTAGAAATATAATTTACTCTCACTTAATCGCCATTAACCATATAATCCCTGCCCAAGTTGACTGTTGTTTTCTTTTGCATATTTGCAAAGCAAATCGGCCACATTTCCAAGCAGCTTTACAATGTTTTTCCCAAGCCAGTTTGCAGACTGAAATAAGCCACAAAAAAAATTCCTGGAACATTTTTGTGGGAAGTAAGCATGCAACTCACAAAAATCAGAGAATTTTTTTGCATTCATTGATTGTAAGAACCATTTTTCTTCCAAACATACAATATATTAGAAATGTGCAATAAAGACTTATGCGTGGTAGTTATATTTTCTCATTAATGTTAATTGACTTTATTGAAAATATGTTGTTTAGGAAATCTAAAAATAATATTGGACGGAATTCAGAGAAAATGGCTTTACCTTAGCCGAGCAGTTTAAGTCAGTGAACGAATGGAATGTTTCATTTGATCGTTATGTTGAAGTTTGTTTCTAAACAAGACAACAATGAACTCGCGCCACAAGAATTAAAAACTGTTTTGATTGCCATATGAGTCAATTAAGAGATTTTTGTTTCTGTGTTTAGACTTGTTTAAGACTCTGGAACATGCTTAAGCTGTGCTTTAATTCTCTGACCGACACAAAGTACTATTTTTATATAGTTGTAAAACTAATTTTAGCTCAGTTTTGAGCCGGCAACGCCACACTGGTGAAGTTCTGAGAGCACACTCTGATTTAACATGAGCAAGATTCTCGATTTTCATTATGCCAAGACAACTTGTATTATGGCAAAGGAACAAATTCTGAATTGGGAAATGTTTATCTTTCAGAGGGTACACTTTCAATTTTTAGCACCTTAACCCTCTGAAATGACTATTATCGATGACTGGTAACACTCGATCGCAAGAACTTACAAACACTTAAGTTCCAGAATATTCATTAATGCATGAGTTGTTTACACTGTCATCTCTAGCTTAGTAAATGCCATAGATTTCAAATGTGACAGTTAGTAAAATTTTAAATGGATAACTTCGGCTGGGCTCCTTCGAGGAGAATAATCCAAACAAATTGAACAGCACGAGTTTCTCATGTGTCGAGGTTTTCAGGCACGATCGAAAACATTGATAGAACGAATACACATTTCTTTTACAGACATTAAATATTATCAGTGCGCATTTTAATAATTGGGTAAAAGTTGTCTTTCCTGCCTGTCTAAGCGAAGGATTTATTAATTAAAATTAAAAGGAAATTTTCTCTGTCTACCGTCTCTGTTCTGTGGTAGGGAAGGTTTCCTTTCTTAATCTTGTTTTCATCGACACCACAAGACGATACCACAAGACGATACCACAAGACGATACCACAAGACGATAGAACGAGGGTATACTGAGACTGTCTAGGCTTCAAATAAGAGCCGGCAAAGTCATTGTTCCTGAGTATTTTCTTCCACTTCCAACGCAAACTGTCTTGGAAATCATGGGTTCGCCCTCGTGTTATCCTGTGTCTGAATATAAGGGAGGGAGGGTATGATCGTAGGTTACCCTAGTGTGTGAAAGATTGAGTAAAAGCTATTGAGCAGTACTTTCATGTGGTTCTGTTTAATATGCTGTACAAGGTGGTTCTAACTTTGAAGTCTGTGGGTGAAACCCTAGTGTGTGACCATTCAAATGAAAGCTATTGAGCAGTACTTTCATGTGGTACTGTTTTTTATGCTGTACAAAGTGGTTCTAACTTTTAAGTCTGTGGATGAAACACTAGATAGAT